GATTTAATTGGCGAGAAATCCATTGTCACAAACAATTCAAATAATATACAAAAACCCCGAACCTGTTTATGAATGAAAAGATCCTTGTTTCTATAAATTTTTGTTGCATGAGTTCTTATTATTTTTACAAGCTTTCGTCTGTTCCTACAGACATCCTCAGATATGGAATAGATTTTGTTCTTGTTTTTTCTCTCAGTAATAAGAGGACAACGAAAATATATGTATTGTTGTAATCCGAAAAATGCTATTAGAAATGAGTTATTGTTTTTGGACCGAGCTATCGCAACGCTGAGTTTGAATTTAAATTTTACAATTGTGCGTTCTTATACAAATATGGTGATAAGTGAATTCTGTAGGAACAGACGAAAGCTTGTAAAAATAATAAGAACTCATGCAACAGAAATTTATAGAAACAAGGATCTTTTCATTCATAAACAGGGGTTTTTTGTATATTATTTGAATTGTTCGCGACGATTTTTTCATTTCATTTTTAAATTCTTCAACGGAGGAAATAAGGTCATCTTGGACGTATTTTGCAAATATATGCACTGATGATCTTACAGAACTAAACACCTTACGAGTCCAAGAAAATTTGGATTACTACTACACAGAAAGGACAATGATTAAACATTAGAAAACATAAGGAAAATTAATTCCTTTTAATAATATGCGGAAATAACCATTCTTTGCCTGATGAAGGTCGCAAGACCCGAAACCCGTGTAGAAAAATATGGAAAATAAAGTATAATATATATTTAAAAAATCTACATTATAACCAAAATGTTTGCGGCTTCTCTTTTCTCTTTAATATATATGTATGTATGTATGTATGTATGTGTGTGTGTGTGTGTGTGTGTGTATGTATGTATACTTATTAATAATGAATTAATGCATTCATTTTTAATCAGACATTTTTATTAATTTAAACGTTATTATAGTGGATACTTCGTATTTGAAATAGACGCCCCGTTTTTTATTTACTAAACAGTGTGTATTACATCTATCGGCCAGTGCATTCGAGAAATCTTCTTTTTATTAAAAGTTCTCAAATACGTAGGCCGATAGACGTAATACACACTGCTTAATAAATAAAAATGAGGCGACTGTTTCAAATACGAAGTATCCATTACAATAACATTTGAAGTAATATGTGTGTGTGTGTGTGTGTGTGTGTGTGTGTGTGTGTGTGTGTGTGTGTGTGTGTGTGTGTGTGTGTGACATAATGACAGAGTTTAAGCATTCATATTTCAATTGATATGGAATATACAGGAGCCTGTACTGCTCTTAGAAATTAGCTAGAATGGTTTATCACACCTGGGCAGACTTATTTATATCTGTTATAAGCAAATAGATGAGAAATACTGACACTCGCTCCCTGTCACTCGATGTTTTGAGAAATAAGGCACATTATTCAGAATAGAGAACATGAAATCGAAAAGAATTTCTAAGAATATTTGCAGCATCTTAACATAAAAATAAATATAAGGCCTTTTGTTGTTTTTATAATTGGTGTAGTTAGGTTCGCCTATCATCCGGTTCAGACTCCACCCCGGTCTTTTGTACAAGAGTAGAGGTTTATTCCTTGTTTCCTGCTTAAGATTAAGTTTCTGGTCCCTTCTAAAGTCTATTCCAACTCTATAATTTGAACGTCTCCGACTGACCTTTGAAATGTTATTAACTGATTAAATCTTACATTATTTACATTATTCGGACTATTGTCCTTATCTTTGTCGCCATATTTATCACAACTGTTGTGGATTCCGGGATGAAATCCAGTCTCAAAATGAATGACAAATGCAGGAATGAAATATAGCAAATAAATGTATTGACGTAATAATACAATTGGTAATACGGTTAGTAGATCCAGAAATGCGGTTAGTAGCAATAATAATATATATATAGTCTGGGAAATTCAGTATCGAAGTAGGACTTCCTTCTGTGTCTACGTGCTCGCAAATGTGACTCCTACAAAGCGGTTACCTCTCACTCTCACACTGTATCACTTTCTGACTCCCGACTCCCGGGTATTCACCGGCAGCAGTACAAGTACACACTGGGCGTGTCCACTTGTATGAAAAAGGAGTGAACCCCTTAACAACAACGTTTCGGCCGTTGTACGCTTCGGCCTTCTTCAGGTGGTTAGAATGTCGAACCGAACCCTTTATTTCGCTCACTGGGGTAGACTGTTCTAGTTCCACGTGCCATGTTTTAATGGATGTCAGTTATCAGTTATCTCCTGTTAATTTTTCCCTCTGAAAGTTCTCCACTGCTTTAGCCGGGTATTGAACTCAGACTCACTGGATCTAACCAACGCTTTTATCCACTGTGCCATGTGTCCTTGAGAACAGTCTACCCCAGTGAGCGAAATAAAGGGTTCGGTTCGACATTCCAACCACCTGAAGCAGGCCGGAGCGTACAACGTCCGAAACGTTGTGATAAATATGGCGACAAAGATGAGGACAATAGTCCGAATAATGTAAATAATGTACATAATACCTCATCTCAGAAATATAGACAGATATTGATTAAATCTTGATTAAATCTTGATCTCTTCAGTTGGATTAGCCGTTATCTTACCTGTATACCCCAAGAACTTCACTTCTTGTATTTTCTTACACTCATATAATTTGGGCTTTGTATTAGATGAACATTAGTAAAAAAAAATCTATAATACTTTTGATTTTGACTTTAGCTTTGTTCTTTGTTTTGCTTGTCTGTAATCGAATTGACTTTTTACCCATCAATTTCGAGCTTGAGGAATATTTTTGTAACATTTTTGAAGAGATATTTTCTGGATGTTGCTATATAAATGTATATTTAAGACCTGACAGACTCGACTGAAAATATACATTCAAATGTCGGACAAAACCGCTCAAATTTGGAAAGTATTTCTTTTAAATAGCATTTTTTTTCTGCACAGTGATCCATCCAAATTACAAGTGAAGTGTGTAATAAATATATTATAAATAAATATATAATAGATAAATATGTTTATAAATAATCATTTTCGAACATAAATTGTAAATCCTAGTAAACAAAATAATAATAAACCATTTTAGATAAACTAAAACATAAAAGGACAATACGAATCTGTGTAAAAATTTCAGCTATTTTTATTTTTTTTAAATTCTGCAGCCTCGTCATTTATTATCTCTGGTCAACATCTCAATCGATGAAAGAAGTTAACAAAGACCTTAAAAAGACGCTTGAATATGTAAGTTCATTTATACTTTACATTAATTTTGTTGTTAACCTCATTTCTCTATACTATTTTTTTCAGCCATTAGAATGTAGAAACTTTCCATTTCGGCAAAAAACTAATAACAAAAACTATAATTAAATAACAATCCGGACCAACATTATTTATTGTTGTTATAAAGATATAAACTATAAGAAAGAAAAACCACAAAGTCAAATGTTTCTTTATAAGGAAACGGCTAATATTAACGCCACCATTTCTTATTTTATCATTTATTAGGAAAGAACAGAAGGGAAGAAGAAAGTATACGCAATTGCTGATGGTAAGTAGTTACCTTTCTCACATTGAAACTCTAAACGAAGACACTCTCAAATCGAATTATTAATATCATGATCTCAACTTTGTTAAAAACATTTTAATGTTACTTGTTAACCTAATGACGAAGATGTAACCAAGTGAATCCATTTGTAATGAGACGCAAATCAACTTTATATAATTTTCTATCTGACCGCCGCCTTTGTCTTTACAGAATTGCCATCTCGAAATGCCACGGCGTAACATTTTTCTTCTTTTGAAGTTTAATAATTTTGATTTATATTAAAGCTAAGAGAGCCAGGGACGCGGCAGCAGAGTTAGCCCGAGCAGCAACAGCCGCAACTAATGTGCAAGTGAAGGGCGAAAGAAAAAAATTAAACAAACAAGGTGAGTGATAACTAAGAAAAACATGTCAGCCATTTCTCACTGTTGGCGCGTTGACATTTTGATTCTCCTGTAAAGATAAAATATTAATTAAATAACATTTTCTAAAATGATTAAAAAAATGTAATTTATACATTTTTCTTTTAAGATATAATAATTTAAAACAAGTTCAATGTATTTGAAGATTTTGATATTAAAGAATCGGGTCATATGTCGTGGACCGTACGAATTTTTATTTATTTATACAGTAAAACAAACATGTGCGGTTTACGACATATGTTGCTCGTCTGTCTGGAAGTGGATGACCTCATATGTTATGAAGTAACCCCTGAACTGTAGACTAGAATATGGTAATGGAAATTGGGTGACACTTAAAATATTTATATATGTATATATTGTAGTTTATTATGCAATGTTATTGCGATTATTATCTACGCGGTGTAGAATGTATATGTAGAATCGAATATATAACTATTCTTTGAAGGATAAATGACAATGTTTCTACTTTAGAGTGCATACTGGAGTGACCGTTCTTTAAAAACAGGAGAAAACAATGAAAACGTCTTTGTAGTTTTCCGAGGAAAATGAAATAAAACCAATAATTAAAATAATAATGAGGAATAAAAAATATATTAATTTTCTCATGATGCAATTTATAAAAAAAACGGAAAGGGTTTCTGGTCACATGTGTGGTTTTATGATCCCACTTCCCGAAAGGACATAATCTCTTTTTTCCACTTTCCAACGAGGTCGTTTGAACATATTTTCAGCAGCCCTATTCATGAAGGAGAGATTCGACCATGCTAACTCAGCATGATGCTGACTTGAACTCGACCATACTTACCCGTTCTTATTCTCACTTCCTATAAATAATTTCTAAACCAAAGAGGAAAACGGACATACAAAAGAGACATTAAACTTTGTTTCAATACAGTCAACATAAAAGAAATAAACGTTCGTAACTGAAACTCAAGATTTTGCTGTATTCTTCTTCTATCTTCTTTGCGCGTAAGTGCATATAACGAATCCGACTGGAATGGCAATTCGGCTCTGCAATTTCCAATTCCGAGCCGTTATCGATTGCACCACCCGCATACTCAAGCTTACAGCACATGGTATTCCCAAGCGATCACCCATCGAGGTACTGACCAGGCCTGACGTTGCTTAATTTCGGTGAGAGACGGGAACCGCTATTTCAACGAGACATATCCGTAAGCCTCCTAATGGCTGGAGAAAGAAGAAAAGGAGATTAACTCCCACGTTGCCAAGGGCAGATAATTCATATCACGTTGCCAGGGACAGATAACTGATATCGATACAAAAGTAAATATTAATTTGGCTTTTATTCTACTAGATAGTCATTGAATTTTTTGACAAAATCAAAGGATTTTGAATAGCCGTACATTTTCTTAGATTATCTTATTACATATGGAAGAGGATGGGTGTGGGATGATGGTTTTCCGTTTGTCAATGAGGTGAGTCTAACAGCTTTTAGAAAGACTAGATATTTACAAATCTGGGTTTAACGAAAGGCTATTAGTTTAGAGCCCCTATCGAGGATAATGTTCTCTACGTTTGTAATGAAATGCTAAACTGGACATTATAGGTAACCGTTCTTTCAGGGGCGTTTCAGTCTATTGATTTAGGCTTGTATGTTCGTGAATACGTAAGCATATGCATATATATATATATATATATATATATATATATATATATATATATATATATGTATGTATATATAAATTCTACAATTTAAATATATATCTAGTATCTTAAACATTAGTGATAAGAAAAGGTTTTCAACTCAGACAGAATTTTGACAGCTTTTAATGGTAGACAAATTTTTACGATGTGATGATTGATATTTTGTCCCATTGCAATCTGTATACTTTTATAATTGAAAAACTCATGGTATTGCCAAGATTTTCGTTTCTTGACACCATTCAACATATCTGTCTATCTAGCTATCTAGCTATCTAGCTCAGTCTGCTTTTATCTATCTATCAGTTCGTGCAACGAAGAAACCTCCGGATATATCAAAGAAATCGAAACCTAAGACGGCCGTGGAAACAGAAAGTTCCACCGGAGTGACCAACGAACAGGCGAAAACAAAGCAAGTCGTCCAAAAAAACTTATCAAATCCTAAACAGCTTACTCTAAGGTCGGCCAAGAAAGAAGCAGAGAGGTGAGAATAACCACTTGATTTCCAGATACAATTCATTTACAGGTAGGAGTGGTATAAAGGAGCAAGAATTACTAACACTAAAAATGGAGGTTGTGGGGAGCCATGATCACCTATGTCATGAACGAACATGACGCAGAGAGAGAGAGAGAGAGAGAGAGAGAGAGAAATAAAGATATCAATATACGCTACGGCGCTAAACATTCGATTTTCAAATCTTTGTACGAAACAAGAAAATACTTATTTGCAGAACGAACAGCATTGTTTAGAGACTTTAATTCGAAGAAGAAAGTATTTCTTGAAGTAAAATAAACAGCAAACAAAAGAAATTTTGTAAAGAAAAAGATATGAAAGCTGCATTATGAATATCTGCTTAACGTATTTAAGAAGATTTTATGCACTATATTATTGGAAATCGTAAGAAAGTGAATGCACCATCCAATATGGCGATTTTGTAAGCGTAGCTTAGATGTGGCACAAGGCCGAAAGTGAGAATCAAACTCGCTAACCATTACACCCTACTATGGCTTCCATATAAAGTTTATAAACGGTGCAGTCTAACCAATGGCAGAACGAGGTCTATTATTTATGCTGCGGTGTGATAACATTCACTGTTGTTTATAAATGTAAAAGATAATAGGAAAACTGTAATATTAGCCGACGCATTTCGTCCAATGTGGACGTTTTTAAGGCAAAAACGAAATTAATTTATTAAAACAAAGTATCAAAGTAACTATTAAGAACAAAACAAAATGTCCTTAGCAACTAGAAGAATTTAGGAAACGCTATTATATTCATATTGTCAACTGAAAATTACGTCAAGTACTGTCACGTGTGAAAATATTGTTCTTATTGTTGTGTTGACGGATTCAACCATTTTCTTTTGATTTCTTGATACAGTTGTATACGTTTGTTTGGGAGAGTAGTAATTCTGTTAAGAAAGGCGAAATAGAAATTTCTGAGAAATTTTTCATATTCACTGTTGTGTTTAACGAGATATTTAACTGAAGCCTTAAAATATTTAGCTCAATAGAAAAATTTAAAATAAATTCACTTAATTAAATTCTAGAACAACAAAAATATTAACTAATTCCTTTTCTCTTTATCTCTAATTTTAGAAATGTGTTAATGTTTTTACTGATTTTTTATTTTTTATATTCCAATTTTTTTTTAACGTTCTTTGTATGTTTTTAACATTTTTACTGTTTTTTATGTTTTAACTGTTTAACTGTTTCTATAGTGTTTTTTATGATTTTTAATAGTTTTAATATTTTTACTGTTTTTTATTTTTATGTTTTTAATGATTTTTTAAAATCTTTTATTGTTTTTCTGCTTTTTCTGATCTAAATGAATGATTTTTTAAATGTTTTTTGAAAGAAGAAAGAAAGAAAGAAAGAAAGGAAGGAAGGAGAGAGAGATAGAAATGTTTAACATCTCTTGCTATTACCTCATAAATAATGGATTATTCCGTTTTGATCACGTGGACTCTTTATTGTTAGACATAAAAATTAAATGCCTTTCTATGTTTGTTAACTAAAATCGTTTCGCTTCCTTATGTCTTATTTATTGGTATTAAATTAAAGAAGTAAGTGTTGAAATTATCTCGAAGCAATTTAACGTCATTTCAAAGGTAACTGAATATATTATTGAAGTAAATAGATTTCCTTTTGTATTTAGTTTGCCTTCTTTTCTTTTTTCCCTGAAGGTTACAACATGAAACTCGTCTGGGAGAAATCAAATTAGCCAAATTGCAGAAATTTCAACTCGATCGTGAAATCAAGGAGGTGGAAAAGCGTATTTTAAGATGGACAGAAGAAACCAGCAGACCAACGCTTACCGAAACCAACCGCCATTGTTTATTAAAATCTGATAATCAGCGAAATCGTCCACACCAGCAGAAAATGAGTGAATGGCTTCCTGATATTCCACAGATGAACCAGTCAAATAGTAATAAGGACATTAAAATTCAAAAACAAAGCAATAGTCTTAATCAAATGGTACCAGGACCGGAAATAACTACTCATAATTCTCACGAAGTGTCTGAGCAGCGGAACTCGAAGCGCTTTGCATACCGGGAAAAACAGTCATTGAAGCAAAGAAATGTTATTAAAGAAGAAGAACGAGAAGAAGATGATGATGATGAAGAAACGCAAGTGACACGTAGAAAATATCCTGTCGACGTGTATCCGGAGCCAAAGCACAGGAAGCTAGGTTATGATAATCGGGCATTTGTGGGCAGCCCACGGAGTGAAAGAAAAGATTTTCCAGAAAATTCGGCTAAGTCTCGTAATGATATACTGAACGTTTCTAAAAGAAGTAAACATGGACCTTGGCCTCTACGTACCAAATCCCCGAACAATAGACACCAGATTACGACTGGTGAGATTAAAACGATGGACTTCGATTATTTTCACAATGACCACAACTTCCACAGTCCGATCGAAGATGAAGATAGCAGCGATGAAGACTTCGTGGAGCCATTACGTCATTATAGACCCATGAAAATGCGATCAAAAAGATCGGTACCTATAAGTCCGCCGGGAGATCTTGATCTCAATCCAGAACCGAGTGAAATCTATGAAGCCCGGCCCAGTGACAGCCGAGATTTTATACAGTCATCAAGATGGCTGAGTGGAGAATTTTAGGATTAAACGTAATATTTTGAAACCTCATGTCCGGTCGGTAAAATGAAAGCCAAAATCTAATCTAACAAACATGTGCATAATGATAATTCAGAATTCCAATAAAAGATTGCGAAAGATATATGGAGTCACATTCAGTACGGGTAAAGTGCATGAGGAGTATTTACACCCGAGAGCAAAAGCGGGCGATATTGGAAGATATGAACCAGTTAATAAACATGCTTAGCCATAATAACTGTTGTTGGGTCGGATTGTTAAATACAGAATAACAAGAAAGATGGTAACCGTGTTTCCATTTTTGAGGTTAAGCCATTATTTTACAAGAATATATATATATATATATATATATATATATATATATATATATATATATATAGGAGAAGGACAACTCTGAATTCAGAACCTGCGGAGGGTCGTTTGGGGACCTTGTGGCACATTGTGCACTCTGTATTTGGTCCTCCAAAAAGTGTGGATGGTTCTGCACAAAGCCTTCACCACTAAAATCAAATCATATGTGCTGGTGTTTGACTGTCGGTTCCTAGGAACCGAGAGGCTTGACCCTCATACATCGAGTACGACAGGAGAGTTGAATATCGCACATTGAGTTTGGCGTTAATAGTGTTCGATGTAGAATAACGTGGAGGCAGAATCTCGCATGAAAATTTTATTTACAAGTTATTTAATTGATATATATATATATATATATATATATATATATATATATATATATATGTGTGTGTGTGTGTGTGTGTTTGCGTGCTGTTTAAAAATGTCCTCTTTTTTTTCAAAACATATTTCAATTCTGTGATGAAGTGCATGATTCATTAATATGTCGAAGAGTTTCCTCTGAATTCATATTTAATTCTTTCTTTAAGTTCCTCAATATTTCTTGAGTGCGTTTGATAAACAAGTGATTTCAATTAGCCCTTCAAAAAGCCACAGAAAACAAATCCAAGGCTATGAGGTCTGGTGACCTCTCAGTGGTCACTCAACAGAACCTCTTCAGCCTATATATTAAGCCCTATGGTGCGCGATTTTTGCCTCACACTGTCTATTAATAAATATTCGTCTTTTTCCTCATCGGTAGGACAACTCTGAGTTTCATGTACTATGCAATATTCAAGTGCTGATCGAAATCAGCACCTGAAGATTGGATTGTGGAGATTGCATTATTGGAGAGAGAGGGAGGAATAGATAGACGGCATTGACAGAGAAATCAAGACCGCATATTGAGTGTCTGTTTCACGTCTCAATGTGATCTACATATACTGATATGGAGAACGCTTGAGGCGCGAAACTGAGTGACCATGCGGTGCGGGCCCCTATAAACACAGTCTATATTCCCCTATAAATATAGCAAAATCGAAACTATATAT